GATTTGAGACACACACCTTGGCCTGGAGCCCCAGCTCCTCAGCAGGTACTTCCAAACCCCATGGAATCCGTGCTGAAGCCATTCCTACAGTGTCAGGATTAGAGATTCCAATCAACACATCTTCCCAAAACTCAGTTTAAACCCTGTACCCTCCATGTACCACTGTTTACCTTTCCTGTATTTCTTTAAAACTGCACATGCTGTGCTCATACATTAGACATCTTTAGGAATTCCAGAGGATTTCTGATGTTTGCAATAATAATATTTACCCTGCACTGTAAAGTACTCACAAAGACACAGTAAGGGTGAGGGAAGGTTCAATTTCTCAGCACAATTACTGTTTAACTTCAAAAATATCACCACAGGGCTTCTAAGTGTTTTGTATTTGACAAATACACAGCACACTGGAATCCAAGGAAATTTGATTTGCCAGAGCCCACCTGCCTCATATTTCTGTGTAGGATCTGACTTTAAATTCATCATCCTTTAAAAGAAAAATCTGGAGCACGTTTCTTTAAAATTCACCAAAGATGTATCTTTAAAATGGATTTAAAGCAATTTTATATAAATAAGTATTTAATAGAAGATTTTTGGACTGATCCCTCTCAAAACCAGGAAGTAACTAATAGGAATCTTCTCTCTATATCCACCAACTTGACTTTCAGTGAACAATATGAAAATACATAGTGGAAGAAAATAATTTAAGTTTTATATATCAGTGCTTATTATTTGATATTATATCAATAACATTTATCAGGGTTTGATGACCAACTTAAAGTAAAAGCATGTCACAGCTGGATCAGTTCTTGGCTGCCTAATGGAAAAAAACCATAAGGACTTTGATTTTTTATGGCAGTCACCCTCCAGGATCATTGACCACTTCAAACACAGGCAGGAAAACAGGCAAATCCAAGGGGAAACCCCAAACACAGCCCTCAGAAAATCTCCATCTCTTCCTATTTCAAAAGGGTAAAGCAAAGGAAGGAGGTTGAAGCAACGAGGTCTGAGTGGAGCTGGACCTTCTGCCCGGTCCTGGTGCAGGTGCAGCCCTTCCAGCTTCCCAGGGTGGGTTCTCTACCACTTCCAGGCTTTATCTGCTGGCAGTTTTCCCCTTCCAGCTGTACAGCAGGCGCATCAGGAGCAGCACCAGGTCAGGAACTGCTCCTTCCAGGGAATTCCTTTCATTTTCTTCCAAGCTCACAACTCCCCGGCTCTGAGATTGAGCCAAGAGATCAAACCGATGAACTTTGGAACAAAGGTGAGGCAACATGTGCTGAACATGCTCCACAGGGATTTTAGATCTGTCTCTCACACTCTGCTTCAGCCAGGGAATTACGGAGTGTGAACACGCTTGGCAGGAAAATGGTGGGAAAATCTCATATTCACTGAAGACTGACAATTCCAATTAACTATGATATCGTCCAATTTAAAGATTTTTAAATATCTTAATGTTAGATGCATAGAAAAACAAATCCTTTTGCTTTATAAAGCTACCAGCAGAAATTATTTGGAAATTTATTCCTGTCCCTTGGCCTCAAGGTCAGGTTGGATGGACCTCTGGGCAACTTGGTCTATGGAAGGTGTCCCCTCCCATGGCAAGGGGTGGAACTGGATGATCCTTAAGACCTTCCAACCCAGACCAGCCAGTGATTCCATGCGGTTTACAACCAATCTAGGGGAAATTTTGCAAGACGCCGGTGTACGATGCTCTAATATAACAATACTTTACGAACTACTTTAAAGGAGTTTTAACAACGACTTGCTCTCACTTCTGACCGCCCGAGCAACGCCGGTTCTCTGTTCCAGGCGCCTTCTCTCGTGCCATGGATTGAGAAGCAGCAGGGAGGGACGGTGCGAGGGGCTCTGCCGCCCTCTGCTGAACCCAGGCAGCGATTTAAGGCCGTTTCAGTGGTTTTTATTAAAATCAGGCACCGGAGCCGCGCTCGGTGCCCGCGGTCATTGGGCTCCCCCCGAGCACCCACCGCAGCCACCGCGGCCCGGGGGGGACCCGCTCCCACTCCCATCCCAATTTCCCATTCCCGTTCCCATTACCGTGTCCCTCCTGTCGCTGCCGGGCCCGGGAAGCGGCACCTCCCCTTCCGCCTCCCCGAGCGCCGGGAGCGGCCCCGCCGATCCCCGCCTTGCCCCGCCCGGCTCCCGGAGCATCCCGGTGGCTCCCTCCGGCAGGAATCCCGGGCTAAGGCCGTGCAGGGCCGGGCAGAGCAAGCGGCGCTTTCTCCCCCTCCTGCCTCGGCCGCTGGAATGGCCCTCGTGAGGATTCACTCCCTCCATCCCATCTGCTGACTTTAGCGAGTGGAATAACCTGCCCGGGCAACTCGGCGACCTGCAGAGTTTACACAAAACCGCCGGGTGTACAAAAGGGTTATTGTGCTTTGGGCGCAGATTAGTTGGAGCTAAATCAGCTGTCTCGGGTTTATGACTCGGGGTTGTGCAACCGAACCTACAGGCAAACCCTAAACACAGGATAGTCCCGGCCCAGCCGGGCAAACACACCTTTGGACAAAGCAAAGGTGGATGTTCCATCCATGCTCGGGAGCAGATATGGGGTTAGAACCCAGCAGCAGGAGCTGCATCACACCCTGTCCTGTGGTTTGATCTCACACTAGTTATGAACTCCGAAGCAATGCAGGGAATCCTCACTGGAAGCAGCTCTGGATCACAGGATCCTGCTCTGAACTGAACTCGTGTGGGCTCTGGTACTGTTAGAAATGACCAGCCCCCGATGCCCTCCCAGGGCAGCTGCTCTGTGCTGGCCTTCACTTTAATTAGCTGGTGAAAATCAGACTCTGCTTGATCACTGCCATGAAGTGACGGCCTGATGTAAGGAATGACAGTGGTGACCATAAACACTGAACACAGCTGGAGCAGACACAGAGCAGAGAACTGTGTGAGCTTCAAATCACAGCACCACCCATCCCTGCCAGGCTTTGCCCTTGCTCAAGATACCATGTTTCCTCAGAACTGCATGCTGTTTTCCAGGGAATTCTGATTCATTTGACTGTATTACACATCTCAGAGTTGCCTCCCTGTCTTTCAGTTCGTTCATATACATTATTTATAAGGAAACACAAACCCTTTCTTCCCGGATTTAATACATCATGACCTGCTCCTGCAAAAAGTCCTCCACGTAATCTATACGTCTTATTAACTATGAAAAATGCACAGCACTGAGAACATCACTGTCATATTTTGTTGCCCCCAATTAGTTCTGGTCTAACCCTTTTAGCTTCAAGAGATACCAGATTATAACTTGTCTGACAAGGCTATTTTACGCAACGTGTAATATGTGAGCAATCAATGTCGTAATTATTGAAATGATTGTGCTATCAGTCAGCAGCTCCTTTGGCCACCAAGACCTTCACAGCTTTTTGCTGATTATATATTTTCTGAAGCAAAGACAAATGGTTTCTTGGATGTGAGAGCAAGTTAGTACTACAGTACCTGGTATGTGTTGGGCCAGCCCGGTGTAGGTCTGTCTACTGTCTGAAAAATGGAGACTCAATAGGAATTCAATAATATCAGACTAAATTTTCTGTCTCCTCTTGGTTTGTTTTACTATTTAGAATGCTGGCAAAAGAAATTATCAAGACACGGTTATTTCCCTGACTCTTTTCCCTCTACTGAAGGAAATCTTCATCAGTGGGCAGGCAGAGTAGAGCAGAATGAAGCTAACAGAGATTTTTAATTTCAGGCAGCAGAGTCTCAGCGATGACTGGTTTGTAAGGTCTATATTTACTCATTATATCATCATACAAAGTGCAGTTAAAGTTGTTTATACAAACAGAACCCCCAGCTCACAGCTGTGGCAGGAGGAGGCAGTGCCGTGGTCAGAGGCAGGCGGGTGGAGCAGAGCCCGCCCTTAGAGGAGCTCTGTTACAGTTTGATTGAGTCCCTGGGCCTGGAGAGACTCAGATTAGAAACCACTGACACAGAATCACAGAGAATGCTGAGCTGGCAGGGACCAAGCAGGGTCATCAAGTCCAACTCCTGGCCCTGCACAGGACACCCCAAGAATGACACTTTGTGCCTGAGAGCCTTGTCCAAACCCTCCTGGAGCTCTGGCAGCCTTGGTGCTGTGCCCACCACCCTGGGGAGCCTGGGCAGTGCCCAACACCCTGTGGGGGAAGAGCCTTTTCCTGAGATCCAACCTAAACCTCCCCCGACACAACTTCCAGCCATTCCCTCGAGTCCTGTCACTGGTCACAGAGTGAAGAGATTGGTACCTGCCCCTCTGCTGCCCCTTGGGAGGATGTTGAAGACCCCAGTGGGGTCTGACCTCAGTCTCCTCCAGCTGAACAGACCAAGTGCCCTCAGCTGCTCCTCTTGTGGCTTCCCCTCTAGACCCTTCCCATCCTTGTGGCCTCCTTTGGATTCTCTCTAATAGCTTAATATCTTTCTTATATTGTGGTGCCCAAAACTGCACACAGAACGCAAGGTGACATCAGTTTGTTGCTGGAAGTTGCACTTTGAGGGCACCTTGTCGGTTTATGGATTGATAAGTATGAACAAACCTTAGGACTTCCCCTCCTCCCTGGTTGTGTTTATACATAATTCCTTTTCCAGAATGGATGTGGATGCAGGGATTGATCTCTGAGCACACACTGAGACAGGGCAGACTTTCCCCAGCCCATGGATCAGGGAGTACAGCCAGGCTGCTGGTCCTGGAAGTGCTGGAAGACCTGTTGGAAGGCAGTAACCTTTGTGCCCGTGACCAATTGTAGGTTACTCATGGTGTCCCACCCACAGGCTTGGCACGGAGGGTGCACCTTCCTGAGCACTGCTGGCCTGTTATCAACCCGATAAACCACCCGGTGTATTTGCACAGAGGTTTTACTGACTGCAGAGCACAGAGCTGCTTCTTCCCCTTCCTGCCTCTTTGTGCTTCATCTCACGGAGGAGGAAAGACATCGATGCAAATTGGCTTCACGGAAGAGAGGGAATATCCCAGCCTGGCTGGAGTGGAGAACTCCAGGGCAGAAATGGGCCACCAGAACACCAAACCCCACAGAGAGAAGCAAGCCAATATAGTGATGCTGGGACTGGATTCTGCAGGAAAATCCACGCTGTTGTACAAGCTCAGGTATAAAGATGCTTTTCTGACCACGCCAACCATCGGCTTTAATGTGGATATGATTGAAACCGGGAGAGATTTTACACTGACGTTTTGGGATGTTGGAGGGCAAGAGAAAATGAGGCAGGTCTGGAGCAATTTCCTGGAGGGCACAGATGGACTGCTGTACGTGGTGGACAGCTCTGATAAGCGACGGCTGGAGGAATCCAGGAGAGAGTTTGAGCTCATCTTGAAGAACGAATCCATAAAAAACGTGCCGGTCGTGGTGCTGGCGAACAAGCAGGACTTGCCTGGAGCTTTGAACGCCGAGGAAATCACCAGGAGGTTCAAGATGAAGAAGTACTGCAGTGACAGGACTTGGTACGTGCAGCCCTGCTGTGCCATCACGGGAGAGGGGCTGGAAGAAGCTCTCCATAGAGTGACCACGTTTGCCAAACAGTACAGCAGATCCAAGGAGTCCTTCAAAATCCTGAAGGAATTCGAAACACTTTAAGGATTTCTATCATCAAACCCTGGAGAATGTTAACAGATCTTGTTGGACTGACTAAATCTGGAAATATTGGAGTCTGGGGAACTTTTATACATAAATATTTATAAAGAACTTTGACAATATTGAAGTCTACTGTTATACCTGCAGATGCTCCCGAGATACGACTCTGCAGCATTTTATTATTTTTTTTTATTTGCTCAGGGTTGTTCAGCTCAGAAATGTGGCTGTTGAACGATGAGAAAGGTGGAGTTGAGCACCTGGAAACGAAATAGGTGAGAAGTGTTTAAATCCCTTAAATCAGGTCATTTTGTAAGAGGCAAACGAGCCAAGTCATTTGTTCAGCAATGATAAAACGCTGTTTTAATAAATACTCTGTGGATGTATTTCTCTTATATGTATATTTATATATATGAAATAGTGGTTTTAGAGCTTAAACTCTTAATTATGTACAAGAGAACTTGTTGGCTATTACTGCATTCTAGAAACAATTACTCCAGACAGGTTTTAACAAGCAGGATCTGCCCCTCAATCAGCCCCAGGCAGAGCTGGGATCCAGTGCTGTCTCTAAGGTGTAGGTCTGATGTCCCGTTGTCCCAGATTTCCATTTGCTGCTTTCCTTGTTTCACTGCTGGATTGCTCTCCTTAGCCAGGAGCAGAGGGATGGGATCAGTCCAGAAAGTGCTGAATCCCAATATTTTTGGGGTGGGGGAGGAACGGGAGAATTGGCTCCGTGGTCATTTTTTTAATAGATCTTGACAGATCCTGTCCTGCCTTTACTGAAACCATCTGAAATATTGTTACTGATAAATTTAGGTTTGATTAAATTTGACATAACTAATCCCATTACTACAGTTTGTACAAAACAATTCCAAAGGAAATTTCTGTGCAGATTTCCTGCTGGCTGAAGGAGGGAATTAATATCCTGAATTAAGGCAATGAAGGATTGATAACTAGAAGACTAATTGAACTCTATCAACCATGGAAGCAGTTTAAGGCTGACGAGTTAATAAGGCCTGCTCTGTAAAAGCAGGAGAAAATAGATCATTGAATTGTTGGTTGTAATCCAGTTCAATTCCTTCTGCCTCCTTGGCAGAAGATGGGATGCCCCAGTGCTTAGGATGCTTTCCTAGATGCCTGGATTTTTTTATCCCTATTCCTACCACGATCTTTGACCACAGACAAGTCATTCAACCACTCTGTGCCTCAACAGCACCTCAGAAAGATGAATTTCCCAGGCATGGGTTCTGGAAAAGTCGTGGCCATGATCCTGGAAAAGGGGTCCTCTTATGCACCTTTTCTTTGGTGACAAAATGATGATGCCAAGTCATTCACAGAGGGAATTTGTGTTTCGTTCTTACTAATAAACAGGCAGGAATTTCAAGTTACAGGAGGGTGAAGCAGCAATAAAATCACCCAGACATACCCTGTTGTCTCATGAACATATTACTCAAAGGCCAAAAAATCACCAGGTGAATTTGCTGAAATAGCAAACAAAGGGAGGTTTCTCAACAGAAGCTGTTGTTAATACTGAGACTAATTACCAGGGGCTAAATCCTGACTCATGTTGAGACTCTGTTGCTAAAAGGAGAGCAGGGATCTGGATTTCTCATTGCCTGGGCTGATGATTTAGGTTCAATATCAAATACCATCCTCTGGCCCTAGAAAGATCTTTAAAAATCATTAACATGAGTTTTCCAAAACCAGCAATTCAACGTTAAGAAAAGTAATATTTCAAATGAATACATTCATAAGCGTTTGCATTTTATGGTATATATTGAATTCTCTTAATCTAATCATGGGTCTGTTATAAACCTCAGCTTAGTTCTGTGGCCTCAGGACTCCCTCAGGGAGAAACACTCCTGAGAGATTTAATGAGGGTGCACCAGGGTCTCTAATTAGACAAGAAGCAAGTTCTGAAGGGAGAAATAAAGTCCTATAATAGGCCAGCTCTTACAGCTAAAAATGAGAATAAGCTTTCAGGCACACAGGCCCTTCTGCAGGTTAGCAAATTACAGCAAATGACACATCAGCTTGAAGAAATATTTTACATTATGCTTTAAAGGAGAGAGATAAACTCTATTCCATTCACTTTGCGGAATATCAAGTACTTAAAAATTGAATTTTCTAAGAGCTTGCTTTCCCGGAGAAGTGAAGCCTGTTATATCTGCCCATGGAGACCCCAACCTTTTGGAATAATTTTGAAGCTTTAAAATAAATATCAATCGAGCTGGAGGTGCAGGTTCTCAAAGGAATTATATGCCTGAAAGCTTAATTAAAAAAAATCAGAAAAAAGTGACCACAGCAGTGCCCCCGGTGAGGGCAAGGCTGATAAGGAACAAAAGGAATCCCCATGGAGATAAATGTTCCCTCTGAGTCACAGGAGAGCCAAGGGATCATCAATCCACAGAGCCTGGCTTTAATTAGTTCCTTTGCTGCCGGAGCTGGTTGGTCTTTTCCATCCTGCAGGAATAAGCAAAATACTTGGGGGCTTCCTTAGGGTGGGGAGACCCAGGAGATGGATCCACTGCTCCAAACTGCCTTTCTGGGCCTGCAGCAAAGAACCTCTGTGACCACTCAGCAAGGTCTGGGAAGTTCCACGGGCAGGAAGGGGCAGAGGAAGCGGAACTTTGTGGCTCAGCTGTGGCCGGAGCGGAGCAGAGCTGGTGCCGCAGGCTCGCCCCAGGGCCTGGGAATTGTTGGATATCTGATCCCATCACGTGCTCCGTGGGGAAATCAATATCCAGGGAGTCACAAAGGTGTTCCACAGCTTTATCCTGCTCTGGAGAGCTTGGGATCTTTCAGCTGCTTGGCTGAGCAAGATGAGCAGAATTGTCTTTGAGTTTCAGAGCACAGCCAAGTGGAATTCTACTGCTGCTAAAAATGCATTCCACAGTACCATAAGAAAAATTTATTCCTGGATAGGTTTTTTTCATTATTTACAATCTTATAGGTCACTCAGTGAAAACAATTTTAGGGTTTTTGAAGGCTTTGGGAAGGTGAGAACTCAGAATACTAAGAACACTGCCCTCTGTGGGAGGGGAACTGAAGCCCGTGAGCTGCAAAGTTTGCATGGGATGAAAGGCCTTAAAGAGTTTGGGTCAGGTGTTTCTATTGCTTCAGGTTTGGGAATTTTTTCCATTAGTCACCCTGGTATTCTTGCATTTTTTTATCACTGGATTCTGTCAAGTAGCTAAACTGCTCCAGTCCTCCGGTGTCTGCTCACATTCCTTACACAGTTTGCTGTTCCTGTTCCCTTCTGCTGACAGAAGAGTCATCCATGGTGTGCTGGAACACACCTGACATCAGGAGTCACAAGGGGAAGAAGGATCTGTGAGACCCAAGGCATGCAGGACCCTGGGCCCTCTCAAGGAGATCGTCCACCGGGACGTGTTTGGATGGGACAATTTAAAAGTTGAGGATGGGGACCTGTCCTTTTGGCCATTTGTTGACGAGATCGCTGTGGTGTGAAATCATGATGGGTTTTCAGAGACCTGAAATAAGTCATGGAGCTCCCTGGACACAGATCCAGCAGGATGCAATGCCGTTGGAAGGGAAGGTGTGGAGCACTGCAAGTTTGGATGGTAACACTCCCTCCTCCTTTGCCTGGGAGACAACTCTCCAACAACTTGAGCACTCTGCAGAATCAGAGGGAAGTGTAATGTCTGAGGAATGCAGGACAAGGCTTTTCCAATATCAGACAGTGCAGTGCTGGGCGTTACTCAAATGTCTCTGTGTCTCCTCCTCATTCCTGACAAGTAACTGAACTAAAGGAAAGACTTTCCTGGATAAACGAGTCCTAAATCTACTGCAAAGGGAGACAACAATGCCTTGAAGTGCTGAATAAACATTAAAGAGCTTAAAGCAGGTTTTCTTCTCAAAGCAAATAACCCAAGCTACAACCAGGCTTCTTCCACTTCTAATTAGCTCAGGTATTTCTGTTCAGCACAAGATTGTGGAGATGTATCTCCTCAGATCCCACAGCCTGGATTATCCAAGGCTCTGTAATTTAGGATGGAAACTCTGGAGGGCGGAGGCCCTGCTTCCAAAGCACACACCACACTGCAGGGACCATTTGCAAATGTAAATTCATGAACAGCAACAAGTCCAAACACATCTGATTTTGAAGGGATTTTAGCAGGTTGTGCATTACTTTGTGCTCCAGTTTCTGCAATGTTCTGTCCTCCAGCTGTGATGAATGTTCTTGTACCCCTCCTGCTCATCCAGGACGTGTTTGCAGTGTGCCTGTCCCCCTCATCCAGCTCTGGGCAGGGCTGGATGTGATAACTTTGGGTTCTTTGGTCACCAAAGACACTGCCCCTCACCCCTGTCACCTCTGTGTCCCCTCCCCAGCTACACATTTACACCTGCAGGTCCCGCCCCAGCAGAGCTTTCTCGTCCTCTTGTCCTTCCCCAGGTATCACAAAGGCAATGCCTGTTTTCCTGGTCTCTTTATCAGATTTTCACGGTGCTTTTATGCTCGTTCTCATGCCACTCCTTGTGCTTGGAATTACCTAAACACAGTTACAATCCCATGTCATTGTTTTCCTCCAGGTCCTTCCTCAAAGCACTCCTTTCCCACGATGTGTGTAAAGCTCCTGCCGATGGCTGTTAGGGTTTTATGACCAGGCCCTTGACCCATATCTTTTGATGAGTATTTTTTATTATTTCCTTGTTCTCCCCGTATTTATTCATCTGTTCCCTTGTCGTGCTTTCTTTGGTGCAAAGATCACCTGTTTATTCTGTGCTTCTGCACTGATGAGAAGTTCCTAGGCCTTATATCTGCTGTAAGCAGCCTGAATCTGGTGAAATATCTCCTAAAACAAGGAATTTTGTGAGTTTAATAAACCATCAGGCTCTGAAACCTGAGCCATGTGTGTTGTTTCTTTTTAGCAAATCTAGATGGCAACTGCAGCAACAATTTCATTGATCCAGACAAAGGCTAATCTCCTCTGGAATTCTCCTTGGCCGTTAAAGGGTAACTGTGCCTTAATCAATAGTTTTCA